AATCTAAGACACACACGAAACTGTTATTTCACCTTCCAGTGTTATGCCAAAAAAAAAAAAAATGAGGCAGAAGCCATGAAGAGATGAACTTAATGGTTCTAGTATTTATTTGTTACAAGGGAGTTTCCCATCCTTGGCACTTGACATTTGGGATTAATGTCCTGTGCGTCATGAGTACTCCACTTATGACAGGCTTTGCCTGATATCCCCTGGGAGTGAGGGGACCATCACTGTCAGCAGACAAGGACCGTATAAAATACAGGAGCATGGTAATCCAGTGCTTTTATTTGGGGTTAGATATGTAATCACTATCATGCTTTTGAGTTGGAAAGTAATTTTGTTTGCTTCCAGAAGAAAAATAGCACGTTATTCTTGGTCTCTGGGCAAGAGCTTGATAAAGACTTGCTCAGCCTAGGAATGCAGTCTGCCCTGTGTGAGGAAGGGAGCCTGTGCAACTGGGGCATGGCATGAGCTTGTGGAATCCACGGCCTTGCCAAGTTGGGCTCTGGCATTGTGGTCATTTGCCAGTGGCGGCTCTTAAGCTGGCTGGGTTCCCAGCTCCTTGTATAGTTACCCCCTTTGTTGGCTTCCTTGCCTTCTGGCGCCATGGTATCTGCTCTCTGCCCAAGTCCCAGCTCACGCCAGCTCTGCTTCCCTCCACTCTCCTAGTCACATCTTTCATTCTCGGGGATCGGTGGGTTTACTAAGAGAAGGTAGAACTGTAGGGTCCCCAAGCACCTGTCCATGAGTGCTCGCGCAGTGGAGAAGCAGCATGTGCTCATCGGCACAGTGGAATAGTACTCAGTCATAACAAGGGAGCCAGCACTGATCCGTGTGCCAGCGTGATGAACCTTGGAGGCGTGTCACTGAAAGAAGCCAGACACACAAGGGTCACGTTCCATGTTGTGTGACTTGTGTGTGCCCTGAATAGGCAAGGCCATGGGGATAGAAATGTGCCTGGCAGTGGCCATAGCTGGGGGAGGAGGGAATGACTCAGTAGGTGGAAGGGTTGCTTTTAGAACACTATATTGTGGGGGGCGCTCTGGGTAACGTTCACTTGTACATTTAAAAAATGGTTCATCTTACGTTAAGTGATATTTTTTACACCAACCAGAAACAAAAACAACCATGAAGGTGGCTGGGGAGTGTAGCTAGGTTTCTGCAGAGGGGTGACGTTCTTGGTTTTTGAGGTGAAAGAGTCCTATAGGCAGGATTTCCTCTTGGAGAGATGAAAATACTTTGAAACTTGGCAAGGGAGCCTTTAATTGCTAATGCTTTGCTCATAGGCAAAGAGTAGAATTTCCTAAAATGACCTCTTGCAAGGAATATGCCTTTAAGATTTTAAAAGACAGTATTAAAAAAGAAGAATCACTCATTCCTTTCTATCAGCATTTCTTACATTCAGTCGGCACCTTTCCAAATCTGCAGGGACGCCCGAGGCACTACTGAAAAGTGATAGCAGGATTTGGAATTTGGTGAGAACAAAGCACCCTGTGTGTTTTGTGTTCAGGTTGAAGGTTAGCTGAGGGGGCTGTGGGCTTTGGACAACTCTTGGTGAGACCTTTGTAACTCCTCAGCCCTGGGAAGCAGTAATTTCAGGTGGAAAGTTAACTGGGGTGATGCTGGCTCCATACTTAAATGCAGCAATGTAGGTGAGGGGTCAGCTCAAGGAAGTAGAAGAAATGCTTGCTATGACCAAGGAACCAATCAAGTGACACCTGTAAATACAGAGTGGGAGAAATATAGCAGGCCTTTCTGAGACCTTTTTTTTATGATTATCCTTGGATAGTTCTGTATTTCCTCCAAACCTCCTCAGAGATGCCGACAAAGTAACTCCTGCACTGGGGTGTGGCTTAGTGGCCAAGAGCTTGCCTCCCATGTTCAAGGGCTGTCTCCAGTACCTGGTGGGAGTGGGGTGTGTGTTGGGGGAACTCCAAAGAAACCTCTCTCAATTCTAGTCTCTTTGTGAAACTATTCTGTTTCCTTCTGATATTTTACAATAAAATTAAGACAGATACCATGAAGAAATGAATGTGGTAGAGAGATTTTGAAATGACTTTATCAACATGTGTAATCAACTGCTCTGATGTTCTTATTAGTTATATGTGGTGCGCCATTCATTTCTTCTCATGTTCCATTAAGCTAAGGTTTATTAAGAACATTCTGTGTCAGCCTAGACTGTAGAAATGAACTTGCGGAAAGGGTGTAATGCAGAAGGAAACGGCACAATGTGGGAGCAGAGAGGGTGGGACAGAGGTAACACACAGGGATTGTGTACCCTTCTTCTACACATAAGAAACGCAGTGGTTCCAGCAAGAAAATGCATTGCTCTCATGTGAAGGTCTTAAAGGCAGGCAGTAGGCAGTATTTTGAGAAGGGGGTGGGGTGGAGGTGGGAGGGGGTGCTCCAGTTTCCTTCAGTCTTCTTATTAAACCATTCTGAAGGGTCAGAACAGTCTTGGCAACTCATGACTGGTATTTTAAAGGCAAAACGCAGAAGGCGTACACGTCACGTCTCCCGTCTGCTTGTATGTACCATCCGCAAAAACTTAGTAGGGGAATTCTTGCAATCTAAGTAGGGGAATAGCAAGGAGTGTCATGTGACTTAAAGGTGAAGATAGTGGATTGGGGAAGGAGGGCTGGTGCAGTTAGGCCTTTGTAAATTCTGTTTTATTTGATTACACTGTTTAATTCTTCTAAGAAATGTATGTGGCACAGCAAGCTCTATTTTGACCTCCTCTGTGGAATAGCAGGTCCATGCTCTGTTTTATCAGCTTGGAGGACTCCCCCAGGGACTTGACACCACCTATTTGGAAGGACTGTCAGCATACATGTATGTCATGCCTTGCCAAGAGCTGAGGACAACCAGAAAATTACAACTCTTTTTTTTTTTCTATTTATCAAGTCTTGACATTTACTTACAAGAATAAACAATGTATTACATTTATTAAAATAATTTGCATTTCATGCAAATATTTTGCAATTCCATCAACTTTCTTGCCAGCATGGCTTACTGGTGATGGTTTTATTTTAGGTACTAGTAATGGGAAAATCAGTCAACACCAGGTATCAGAAGGCCTGATTTCTCATTTTAATTTAATGTTTCTAGCAATGAACTAATTATTTCTGACATGTTGCATAACTAGAAGAATGTTATTAATCAAAGTCATAATCCCCATTTTTTCTGTTGATCACACACAGATGATAAGTTAATTACACTTATTGGAGTTTCACAACATATATAAAGGATAATCTTTAATTTCAAGACTAATTTGTGAGTTACCATCTGTTTTGGACCAAAGAAAATAGGAATTTGATTCTAAAGCTTTTTTTTCTGAACAGCTTGTAATAAGAGCTGTTTGTATATTAATGACTTATTGAATTATTGTGGATTTTAATGTTTTAATTTACAGGCAGTTTGGCACTTACTGTGGTGACATCTGCTCATGTTTTGGGACTTTATGGAATTTAGCAGTTTTGTCGTAAGGCTTCTTTTTTTTTTTTCTTTCTTTTTTTTTTTTTTCCTGGTGGTAATTTACAAACCAATCCCCCAAACAGTAATTTGCTTTCTGCCTCATTTTACTAGAAGGAGGCTTGTTTTATCTCCACTGGGTATTTTTTTTCATAATTTTTTAATTTTATAAACAAAATCAATATATCTTTGTGCTTGGTTCACTCCTCTGGTGCCTTTTGGTTTCTATTCAAAGAGTGGTAGGTGAGTTTTATATAAATCTCATTTTTCTTGCCCTGGTTATTACTTTCATCTCACATATCCTTACGATTTCTTTATTTTTATGTAATGTAATGAAACCTAGGTGCCCATGAACCTGCCTGTCAAATCTCTTTAATTTCCTTCTTTTAAACAACGTAACTATAAACATGACTCAGTGGGAATAATTTGCTTGAATTTCCTGCAAACACTTTACGAGATTCCATATAAATTCACTAATAAGAAACACCTTCATTCACTGCTTTGCTTGTGGATTTGAATTATATTAAACGTGGCACCTTTTTATTATCACTTCAGACTGTTCGGTAAGAATTTAAAGAAAATGATGGGTGTTTAATTTCCTTGGTTCTTGGGTTTAGTTGATTTTGGATAATTTAAACTCTCTAGGAGGCTGGGTTCATTCACAGCTAGAGGATGAAGGTGCTTCTCGTTAGGTGAATGCTGCTTGGCTGATTTGTGGTTAAGGTAACTGAAAATGCAAACAGTTTTTGATGTAAAAGATGATCTTTTCATGAGATAGGAGCCTGGCTTTTTCAAAACCCAGTGCCCGTGGGTTGAAAGGGCAACATATGAGAACAGTTGCAAAGTTGAAACTGTGGGCATGGCTCAAGAGGTGAGCACCTGCTGGTCAGCGCCTGGAAAGAAAGCATGTCAGAAAAGTTGAGGTGGGCTGCGGGTGGGCTCAGTGGCAGAGCACTTGCCTCGCACATGCAAGGCCCTGCACTTGGTTCCCAGCAGTAAAAAAAAAAAAAAAAGAGTGCCATGCATTAGTGCCTTTGTTTTGCTTTGTTTTTACAGAAGCTGAGGAAGAACAGATTGTAGCATTTGGGCAGGCACCGTACAGGAGGTACACGTAGGCACATAGACAGGTTCACTGCTTGCTGGGGACCTCACAGTCCTTAGCCCCATGGGGTCCAGACTTTCCCAGAGTATGTGGTCTTCATCCAAGGCTGTGTACAGTTTATCAGTTACCGAAAATCCTGTCCCAACACAAACATTCTTCACATGGACATTGAGTTGTCATTAAGTAATAGCAGTGGCAATATCTGAGCTAAGAGTAATTTTGTCCAGTTTCAGACTCTTTTCCCTTCAGAATTCCTATAGGCATAATAATGCCTGACCAGCTATTTTAATTTCTTTCACTTGCATACAAAACCCTATCATCTCGTGCTAAGGACAGGGGCGATGAACCAGTGGAATGTGTTAAGTTTGAGTTAGAGTAAAAGAGAAACTTTTCCATCTTTTTTTCAAATCTGTGTGTTTCTCCCCAGGCTGGTCCCAGGAGACGCCTTGCAGTGTCTATGACTGGATGCTGGGCAGCCCACTGGTCCAAAGGGCTACACATGAAGTCACTGTGACGGTAAGCAACCCACGTCCCACCCTTTTCCTTTTGCCTGCGTCCATTTGAGAAGCAGAATTGCATTTTGCCCACACAGAGCACCTGTCTTAAGATGGTTGTTCAGAAGGAAGTTGTAGGTCTTTTTCCTTGATGCAGTTAAAGTAATGGATAGACATTCATTAAGTCAATTCTGAATGAGGAATTTTCCTTTCACTACCTGCCAAAGATTTTAGATCCCGGATGAGCTCTTAAAGTCTTGCCATGAGAGGATGGCATCTTCAAAAATCAGTCTCTCAGCCAGGTGTGGTGGTGCATGTCTGTAACTCCAGCTCTCAGGAGACTGAAACAGGAGGATCTTGAGTTCAAGGCTAGCCTACGCACATAGGGAGACTGTCTCAAAAAAAAAATGTTGCTGGAGGTGTGGCTCAGGTTGCTGGAGTGCTTGCCTAGCAAGCATGAAGCCTTTGGCTCAGTCCCTAGTAACTGCTCAAAATAAAAAAAAGAATTGGGCTGGTGGAGTGGTTCAAGCAGTATGTCTAGCACGTATGAGGCCCTAAATTCAAACCCCAGTGCCACCCAAAAAAAAAATCAATTTCTCTTGTTAACATTAGGAATTATAATTAAGCTGAAGCAATAATTATAATTGAGCATATGAGGATCGATTTCATTTGGCTCCTGTATCTTAATTCTGTGCTTTATTAATTTCTTAACATGATTTGCGTCTATCTGAAAATTAATTTACTGGTTAACCTTGGAACTTATTAGAATATCATGTAGGCTACTATATGTAAATGTAGCGAGATTCCAAGGTTTCCAGAAGAGCAAATAGTTGTTCGTGCACAAGGGTCAAGAGTTGAAATCCACATCCACAATCAAAATTGATACTACCATGAGCTCTGTAAAAGTTGTATTGGTAGGGGTGGTGCAGCTTTGTGGTAGAATATTCACCTAGCATGCATGAGGCCCTGGGTTCCACCCCTAGCACCTCAAAAAAAATTGTTCTCTTGCTACCTTTTTGATATATGGGACTGTAGGATTTTATTTTATTTATTTTGTATTTTCTAGTTCTTTTTTTAATGCTTTTTTTTAGTAACCATACCCCCACCCTCAAAACCCACAAAACTTTTCTAATTTTGAAAACATAAAGGTAGACATTTGGACATTATTGCTTTACTTTTTTCTTTTTAATTTTTTGACGGCACTGTGATTTGAACTCAGGTCCTCATGCTTGCTAGGCAAGGTGCTCTTACCACTTGAGCCACTCCCTCATGCCCGGCGGCATCACAGTGGTGGAAGTTCATATAAGAGCAGACACATCACCAGACAGGAGGCCGGAGAGGGGAGGGGCCATTTGTGACCTTGCACCAGGTCCTGCCTCTTAAGGGTACACCACACACTCAGATCATACCCACTGTTGCCCTCAGTGAATGTTTTCTGACCGGGGCCGGCAGTATCTTCAGGCTTTGTGGGCCACGCGGTCTGTGTTGCGGCCATTCAGCTCTGCCGTTGTGCTGTGAGAGCAGCAGAGAGTGTGCGTGAATGAAGGAACGCGCCTGAGTGCAGTGCCGTTTTATTCAGAGACTCTGACACTGGGCAGTGTTTTTTCCACCTCTTTAAACTGTAGCCTTTTGAGTTGGAGACCACCTGGAGGCGAGGCTTCACAAAGCCCCCACAGGCCTAGTGGCAGTGGTGAGGTGAGGACCGTGCTCGCTGCTGCTGCTGTCAGTATCTTATTTTGTGCTTTGAATATCACCATTCCGACGGGCATTTTAAGCAGCGAGCATTTAATTACAAATCTTAGTACCCATGCTTGCTGGCATGAACCTGAGGGTAGTTGGACTCCCATTGAATATTTGGCTACCTCATGCTTTTAGGTGTGATTCATGTAAATGGGGAACATTAAAAACTGATTTGTGTGGTTTCCAGGTGGCCTTGGCCTTGGGGAGTGAAGCTTTGCCTTCTTTTATGCCTAGAGAGAATGCTGCGGGGTTTACTTTTCCCAACTCCACAGGCCACATGATATGAATGGATGGCCCCACTTGCGAGTCCACCTACCATTTGAAAGAGATAGATTGATTTATTTACTTCTGTGGCCCAAATTAAATCCTGCGTATTTAGGTCTTAGAGGTTTCAGAACCAGCTTGTGTGTATTCCTGAAATTTCTTTGAGGGCCTACTCCGCATTGATTCTGTCAGCAAGTTTGTTTCTGGCTAGAAAATTGGTTGTAATTGATGTAGACACCAGAAGCATTAGCAAAAGAGGACAAAGCACTCTTAGGTGGAAACAGCTGTCAGTTGGTGTCTCCCAAGCCATTCTGCTTCACAGTCTTGGGGACATGAACTTGCATTAACTGTGTAGAGAAGAGAATTAGGGGAAAATTGTGCCATTTGTCTTAACCATATTGTTTGGCTCATGTGGCTTGGACTTCCTTAGTGGTTTGCTGTTCCTAGATTGAGCATTTTGGGTTTTCTTCTGGGTGTGCTGTCTGCTCACCTTTTCTGTCACTTTAGGGTTTGCTGTTGATGTGCATGTGGAGTCTGGGTGGGTGGGAGCCCCAGATTCATTAGTTAACCCAGGAGGGCTGCCAGGCAGTGGGAAGGACTCTTTCTGCATATATCACCACAGGGAGTTTTATTCTGGGAAGAGCAGAGTTGTAGGGATCTTTTTGTAATAAGACCCTTTACCCTCCTTTCCTAGCCCTGTAGCTTCATTCCTACTTACTCATTCTCGTCTGAAGACATTGCCAAGTTTTAAATTTTTTATGTGTATATATTTTGGGGTTGGGGGGCTTTGAGGGCGGGCAGTACTGGGTTTTGAACTGAGGGTCTCATGCTTGCTAGGCAGGTACTCTACCACTTGAGCCATGGCCCAGCCCTTTTTTCCTTCAGTTAATTTTTTTAATAGGGTCTTACATTTTTGTCCAGGGCCAGCCTCAGACTTCAGTCCTCCTATCTATGCCTCCCACCTAGCTGGTATCACGGATGTTTCGCCACCATGCCCAGCTTATTCACTGAGATGAGGTCTGGCTAACTTTTTGCCTGGGCTGGCCTCAAGACACAGTCCTCTCAGTTTCTGCCTCCTGAGTAGCTGAGATTATAAACCAGTAGCTAGGATTATAGGCACAAACCACCATTCCCAGCTTTTGTTTGTTGCGCTGTTTTTTTGTTTTTGTTTTTTTTGTGGGTTTTTTTGGTGTCTGGAAACGTCTCACTGTAGCCCAGTCTGGCCTGGAATTCAATATGCCAGACCAGCTTCAAACTCAGATCCTCCTGTTAATAACGTATAGTGTGCTGAGATTACAGGCATGCACCACCATGCCCAGTTTTAGTTGTTTTTATAAACATGAAAGCAGTTCATGTTCATAGTAGAAGAAAACAGAAAATGCTAAAAGCACACTTACAGGTGGAGATCCAACAGAATGTCACCCCTAGAGACAAGTGTCAGTGTTTTTTGGATGTTCCACTTGTGTGTATATGCATGTACAAAACAAGATTTAGCACCATGCATAGTCTGTCTTGAAACCTGCTTTTCCTACATAGCACTATACCATGGGCATTTGCCCCTGTCTTGAAATATTCTTTCTGATGGCCGCATCTTATCCTGTCAGTTTAGTCACCCATGTAAATTGTGCCAACTGCTGAGTATTTGAACTCTGGTTAAAAACATATGATAATTCTTTGATTATATTCGTGATACTTCAGGTAATAAATCTAACCCTAAAATTGGTGAAAACCTTTTCTTTTTCAGAGATTTATTTTCCTTACTGGAAAGTTTTATATATGCATATACACACATAAGTACCTATATATAGCTGTAATACACACACAGACAGACGCTCATTAGTAAATGACTATAACGACACGAAGAAGGTAACCAACATAAAAATCACTGTTGATATTTTCATGCATTTCTCCCCAGGGACATATTTTTCTGTAATTGGGGTCAAACTATAAATGTATGTTGGCTTTCTTTTTGGTGGTGGTGTGTGTCTCCAATTTGGGATGTTATCAGTATCTTTCCATTACATGGCTTTGAATATTTGGACTTAAACATGGTAGATGTCAGAAACTTATCCTTCATTCTCTGCCCTACTGGTATTTCAACTGCTCATCGCTCCCAGTCCTTCATTTCCCTGGCTTGTGAATGATAGTAATAGGAGTAGTGGTCATACTTACATCACAGTTGGGACAGGTAAGTGAGATAAATCATATCAAGCACTCAGCACTCATGTCTCCTACCTATCAAACATGCCGTATGCGTGATGAATTGTTTTGTACAATTGTGTAATGGACACATGCTATTTCCCTTATGTGTTAGCAGAATTTATCAAATCATGCTGGGTTTGCACAATAAACTGCATCTTAGCGTGATTAGAATTATGCAGGAGGAAAAGACATGCAGAGTGGCAGAACAAGCCTTTCTTCCCTAAAATAAGCTGGTCCACAGCAGGTATTAGAGAACTTTAATCCATGCATTAGAGATTTCATTTTAAACTAGCTACCAAGTATGAAATGAAAATAAAGTCAGCTTACAGAAAGATGTTATGGAAAAAGAAGCCAGGTAGCTAGAAGCCAGGTCCCAAAGACCTGGGCCTCTACAAAGCATTCCTTTCTGCAATGGCTGCTTCCTGTGTGAATCCAGCCCGCTGATAGCAGAAATGAAGCACACTTTCTTAGGTCCCTTCAGAAGGCAAGGGCTGCTTTCCACAATTACACAAGGTCCTTTCATCGCAGGACCAGTGGTGAAGTGGGAGCCTCTCCACTGATATCTCCAGTGATATCTGTAATCCCGGTCACCCTTTCTAAAACATTTGCTCACCTTGCTGAATGAGGCTTCCCCTTCTTGGCAAGGGATGATTTGCCCTCCCTGACCTCCATGCCTGCATGAGCTCTCAGCGTTGTGTCTGGGCTTTCTGTCTTTGAAGATAATTAAACAGCAATCAGATTTTGTTGTTTTGGGGCAGTCCTCTTGCTTCCCGGAGAGTGATGGCATGTTAAGTAGAGAAGTACACACTTAAGCAT